TATTCCATCGAGAGAAAATTCATCGTGGCAGTTTTTCTTGGGTGGTAAGTTACTCAAAGAGTCCTTCAATTTCTTTTGATTTTTTAATTTTTTTCCATCGAGAGAAGTTCATCGCGATGGTTTTTAATTGTTCCATCGAAAGAATAATTCTTCGTCGCAGTTTTATAGATTTTTATCTTTTTACGATGGAATCAGATAATTTGGGGGAGAAGGTTTGGCATTCATTGCCAGCTGGCTATGCTGGGCACATGGAGCGTGTTCGTTCGTGTTATGTCGAAGAAGCATTATATATTGCGTGCAGCGTTCGGCCTCTGTACGTGCAATCGGTGACGTCATCATGTACCCTGGAGGGGAGGTTTATATTGGGTGCCTTGAGGTCCCTTCATAAAAGCAGTATCATGCGGTACGTTGTTTGTTGATGGAATTGACGCGCCGGAGTTGTACATGTTACGAAGGGAGGGGGAAGCAAGGAAAGGCACGGATCAGGGCGGGGGGCGGGGGGGTGTCAAAAGGCGACATATATGGCGTATATGAGCTTGAGCGTGTTTGTACGTCTAGGAGCACTATAGTACATGCTGCTGCAAGGGACGACAAGGGAAAACAAAAAAAAGACAAATGAAACAAAAAATACAAAGAGAAAATGACCAAACAAATAAATTTCGAAAGGAAAATGTCCTAATTTTCGGCCCCGTCAGTACCACTTGGCTGACACGGTCTCCACAGGGTTTTCCCAGGGTGTGCACCCCGCCAGGGTCCCTGAGTGGCAGGGTACGTACAGGGTGTGGGATCAGTACCCTCGCAGGGTACCCACCCTGCCATTGGGTCAAGCCTGCAGCGTAGTCTTTCCAGGGTGACCTTGACAGGGTGAAATCTCCCCACCCTGGCAGGGTAGCCGAAGGGCTACGTGTGTGTTACTCCTCATAATTCATGTACGTCCGGCAGGGCTTTCAGGAAGGCGAAGTGTTGCGTGGTCTGCCACCGTGTCTTTTTCTGTTGTTCACACGACTCCGTGCAGATCCGGCGCATGTCGTGGATGACGTTGGCGGGATCCAGATCATGGTCCGTAGTAATAACTGCCAAGGTTACGAACTGCTCGTGCAGCTCCTGGGTTCTGGGTGCGCTACACTTCCGCGGTCTCCACGACCGTCTCCGTTGTATGAAGACCCGATAGGGGCGTATGCCTGCATGACCTGCGAGGCCGCGCTCTGGTAGCCCCCGGCTTGATGTGGAGAGCATCAGCCGGGAAAAGATCATGCCGTGGTTGTCCTGGAATGCTTTATTGCAGTGCAATCCGTTCTGCTACAATTGTATAATGGCAGCAGTAGCAAGAGTCTGTTACAGCAATAGCAGCCATGCCACAGAGCAACCTGTGCCTGGCGGCTGTTGTGCACTTGTGGATTGCCTGCTGTGTTGCTTGCTGCTGCTGTGTTGTATAGGCGTTTTACTTTGCCGGGGATACGCGTCCCGCGGCCCCGAGCACATAGAAGCGAGACATGTCCGGAGGTGTTGCCCCCCCCTCCCCGCCGTGCTGCTCAAAGAATTGTTGTAACGGGGGGGTATGCGGGGATTCCGCCCCAGACATGCGCGCGGCGTGAACGCAGCAGCCCCTGCTGTACCGCTACTAGAAACATGTACAGTCCTACACGCACGGCGACAGTTACACACAGCTCTGAGAGATACAATAGTGTGCACCAATCAGCAGCGGTAGCTGTGAATGTGTGTTCGATGAAGGTCATGTGTACACCAGCGTGATTGTCTCCCCTGCTCTGCTTTCTATGAGTAGCCGTGGAACGCGTTCAACTCTTGTACGTGTAGGTCATAACAGTCTCTCTTGTATGGTGGGTCACAGCAGCACCAGTCTGTTGGATGCTGGATCACACCAGTACGCGTTGCATGCTGGGTCACACCACCCGCGTAGTTGGCCTGGTCCATCGCACGCGTAGTTTGCTTCATTATGCAAGGCACACGTGGGGTAGCCCCCCCTCCCAGACATCCCCCCCCCGCGTGGTTCGCTTGGTTGACACGCTTGGTTTCCTTGGCCAACGGTACGCGTACTTTACTTGGTCCAACACGCGTGCCGCGAACCAATCACCTTGGACCGCTGCAGCTGCGTACGGGCGGGAGCGGTGCCTATTGACCGAACCAGACAACCCGACTCTCTCGCCGACCCGGCCATCTATTCCCCGGCACGCCCGTTTCTTTGTTTGTGAAAGAGGTCCTTTGCGTGGATGCTGGCCACTTGAAGGGCGACTGGAACGGTATGATACTGGTCGCGACGGGCGCGGACGCCGACAACAAGCTGGTGCACGTTGCGACCAGCATCTGCGACAAGGAGAGCACCGACAGCTACTCGTGGTTCTACAGGATGATGAAGAACAACGTCGACATGGCGGAGGTAACTCAACAGCCCGAAGACCACCCTCTTCACGGATAAGCACAAGTCGCACGAACCTGCCATCACCCTTCACGCGCCCAACACTGTGTGGAGGTGGTGCCTTCGTCATCACATCAAAGCACTTCCCGAGGCCCCTGGACAGGTGAGAGGAGTTGTGACCCTGTGCCTCTGTTGGTGTAGGCACTTCGCGCACAAGTGTAAAAGTGTATTCACCTGTACAACACACGACTCACACCCTTCTCTTTGTATTCGAAAGATGGAAGTACACACATAGTGCAGGTTCCTCTGTCCTGTCTCTCGTAACAACCGAAGAGTGTGCCTGTCTTTGTCCCCCTGAATTCTTGCAACACCAAAAGCCCACCCACGACCGACATCTTGTGAAGTTCGCCTCGTATGTACTGCTCGGGCGGGTGTGCACGTTTATCTCCTGTGCATTTCAGCTGCAGGACATTGCTCGCCCCTTGCGGCTGCCTCTCGCCCGGGAAAGGACTACAACCTACCGACCCGACGTGCGTTTGTGTGTGGTTTCACCTTGTATTAATTGCATCGACCGCACCAACCGGCTGACAAGATAGACGTCAGTCACATTGCGTGTGTGTTCGTGCCGTTCCTCTCTCCCGGTAGCAAACAGCCTTAGGATGGGTTACACCCTCAAGTCTCTCCCCCTCATGACCACTTCGCAACCTATATATCCATAACTGTATGTACGGCAGCAGCAGCAAAATTAAGAGTTGATGAGATGATGCCTCTCTGTTTCGTGGGGCTGGGCGGTCGTCGAAAACGATTTTTTTCCATTTTTCCAAAATACGGTGATATCTCATAATGAGCATGGAGAGCAATTGCCATGGCACGGGGGAAATCCATAAACATTGGGCACGAGTTTTGGAGGGTCTGGTTGACATTTGCGTGCAGATCCCGCTGCTTTGAACCGGTGGGTGCGTGTGTTGTCAGACGAAAACCTTGGGTTGAAAAGGGGTACGAATGTGTACCACAACTTTTCATTGAGATGTGCCGAAGTCACGTGTAGCTGCTGTGCCAAGCATACAACAGTGCACTTTGTAGTTGGAGTCTTGTAGTTGTATCCAACCTAAGCTTGTGTATCCTATTTGTGTTGAAGTGTGTAAGTGTTTTGACCTGATGTTGGGCATTACTTTGTGTTGGTTTCCACTCTTCCCAAAGTTGCAACACCCATACCGTATATTTTCTGCGACGATCTAGCGGGCCCGTACCTTTTCGCTCAAAACAGAATGCGTGTCCTGACATACAGTTCTTCTCCCGACTTTTCATGTGCTCTCGTTTGCCTCGGTAGACTGTGACCCACTGGCTCTACCACGCAGCCAGGGCGCCAACCCGCACCAAGTTCATGGACATCATGGACACCAAGGTCAAGCCAACGAAGCCGAAAGCCTACGCCGCTCTATTGGACCCAAACAAACCCCACGAACTTGTCAAGTGGACGCACCACGCTGGACCCACCGACACAGCCATCGGGGGTGCCGTGTCGTCCAACGCGGCCGAGCAAAGCATGGCTATGGTAGGCCTGCAGGTAAGGGTTGATTGTTCGTAGGGGTTGGACGGGTGTCCTAACAGCTGTTTTAGCGTTTGTTCGACCAACGTCCCAAGTGACGGCTGTCGAAATTTGTCCTCGGCGAACGCAGTTAGAGGCAACTTGATTCTTTCTACTCTTGGCGAGTCGAGCGTGCTTTAGTGTGGCCTCATCACCCCATCGTGTTGAGTGGTATTTTCAATTGGTGGTGAGCACGCGGACCAAATCGTCGACAGCGTGGTTATTTCAAGAGTGGCGTTGAGAAATGGTGAGGGCGAGTGATGTTGAGGAATGGTGAGGGCGAGTGACGTTGACGGGGCGGCGGACGCGGTACTAACTCTCCCTTAGGTCGACGGCGTGCCGAACTTTGAAGGTTATGGTAGGTCGACCTCCTTAAGACGCAGAGTGCGGCGGCGTTTCGCCCTTCGTGTCAAAATGTCTTCACACATTAGTACTGCTCTCATTCACCACAAGAAGTGCGCATTGTACAGGCCACCAAGCAAGCACGACAGGGAAGACGTCGTGCTTGAGTACGTCAAGAATCGGGAATGATGTCAGCAGCCAAAACGAGTCAAGATATCTTCTCTCGTCACCAAGGTCCTAACAGTGTCGCCGTTACTTCATGCATAGGGGAGGAAGTTGCCGCCCTACAACATGGCCCAGCACATCCTGGACAAGACCGCCTCCCAGATGGCAGAGAGGGCTGAACTTGTCAACAGCGCCTCGCAGAGATTTCCCCCTTTCGCCGCTAAGGAGTTCGAGGCTCAGCGCGCGCAGTCCAGCAAGTAAGTGGTACAGACCATCGCCTGCTTCTGGCGAGGAGATGGCTTGTGCTACCGTTCTCCACGAGGCATTTGGCGAAGCGTTTCGGGACAAAGTCAGTCTGCATCTAGACGTTTTAAGTGGCTTCATCGTTTTGTGTCCCGTAGAAGGCGGCGAGATGACACGTGCAATCGTTGTTTGACACATTTTTTCGCTTTTTTGGCACCCCGGCGCCATCTCTTCGCCCTCGGTGCGTAAACTCCACAAAGGGCCTTCCACAAATCCATGATATCGCTGAGGTTTTTTGAGGCACCCCGGTGCGATGTCAAAGGCCGGTGCTATCTCCAGTAACATACCCATGAGGCCCTGTTGCGCACACACGCCAGCAGCAGTAGTTTCGGGTTGTATGCATATGTTGTGTGCTTGGGCGAGTATCCGGTTGGCAACTTCCATTCAATTCAAAGTTTTTCAGCTTCGCTGACACGGTCCCCACATGGTTCAAATGTAAGTTACCACACGTACTTGTGCCTCTTTCCGGCAGCTCGAAAAGGCGTCAATCCTGGGTTTGGAGTTCGGAGATTTCTCCGACGTCGGTGTAAAAATCTAAAAATTTCATGCCGTTCTTGTTTCTTCACCTTCGTTTGGTTGTTGGCACTGTTTGTTGTGGGTACCGGGTTATAGCCTCTCTGACCGTTGCCATCTCTCCGCCTATTTATGTTTTGTTGACGCTGGGGTTGACGTGTCTGCCTTCTACGGTAACTATACAACAACCTAATTTCGTCCTTTGCTGTCCATCCCACGACTCGCGCCCGTCTTCGTATCACAGCCTGCACTCCAGCGCCACCGGGAACGGCAACTTCACTGTTCGCAAACTAGGCAGCAACTATGGCAACCGAGTGGGGCTGGACTTCGGGACAGATGGCGTGGTGACTCGCATGACCTGCACGTGCGGCTACACGACTCGATTCAAGATCCCGTGCTGCGATATCATCGCCGTCGGGCGAGGTGAGCAGTGACAGTTCCGGCATTCGTATCAGTGTGGCGCAGCCCGGTCTGACCGGCGAAAAGAGGTGCAGTGTTGCTGAGTCAAGTGTTGCCACAGCCCGCAGGGGCCCGCCGTCCCGCTCATCCCGCCGTGAAAGTTGGTAGACGCGTTGGAGCTTATTTTCCAGGAAGCACGAACGGGTGATAGACGCTGTCCTGGAACACTAGGATTGCGTTCAGTCAATGCTTTTCGTCGGGACTGCGTTGGCGGACAACTTGAAAGAAAGAAATATCCTGCCATGTCGATGCCTCGCATGACACTCATGTATGTGCCTTTTCCTCCACCGCCCGGCCCTGCCATTATTTTTGTCAATGACGCAGCGTTGGACAAGTCCGACGAGGTCATGTCAAGCATCGACCCGGCCTACCACCTCGACACCTACCGAGCCCTGTACGCGGACAGCCGGTTCGAGGTGCAGCTGCCCGTGCCGGATGAGCTGGCGGTTGACGTGGACATTCTTCCTCCGGCCTGGGTGCCCAACCAGGCTGGTCGCCCCAAGAAAAAGG